TGAGTTAGCCGTATTTATATTTCTATCCAGATCATATCCACTTCGACATTTATGCTTATTTAAATCCATATCCATAGGGATATCGATATCGATATCCGTATTGCTATACCTGCCCTTACTATTATCTTTTATCCTATTCCCCATGCTTAATCGTTGATCTTTGCCTTTATTCATAGCCCTAGCCATAGCCCAATACCTCCTCACCTAAATCTCTATCCTTCTAAGTCTCCTTAGTTCTTTATTCTTATCCTTGTGGGTCTACATTATTATCCCTATCCGTATCTCTTGATCTATCGCAATAGCTATCGTTATCCGAATCTCGGATAAGAAGTGGAAAAAAGTGGTCAAGTATAGAGACCATAGCCTATATTTAACAGGGTATACTAAAGGCAGAAGCTGAGACACCATTGAAGCTGGAAGGCGTGGCCGCAAAACCGAGCCCCGACGACGAGCAAACAAAACGATCCGAACACAACAACAACAACAACAACAACAGAAAACGGAGGCATCATAAAAAACAGAACAGAAAAGTTTTTGATTTTTGTGAAAAATGTTTTTCGTTTTTGTTTTCGTTGTGTGAAAAATGAAAATGTGCTGGCAGTGCCAATGTTAACAGGGCGTAGCTAAGTAGGGGGCGGGAGAGTATGGGAGGCAGGGGGGAATGAGGACTGGGCAAAACGGGAGATGGCATCCAGGTTCACAATGAATGAAATGTGATGGCGTCGTCAGGCAGTCAGTTGTAGGCGTGGCCGAGCTCTGCCCATGAAGTTTGTTTGCCCGCCAGCTGGCTACAGATGCTGACGTAGGGGAAGGTCGGGTAGGGTAGGGGAGGGTAGGGCAGGGTTGGGTTGAGGCGAGGCAAAGCCGACCGGAAGGTTGAGCTAAGCGATGAGGCAACGGGGAGGTGTATTTGGGGCTCCTCAGAGCCCATTTTTGGGGCCACACTAATTGACTTTTTATGCGCTGCTTCTCTCTAGGCAGCCCAGGCCAGTCCAGGCCAGGCCAGGACTTAGCTAGCTGCCACCCCTGCCACGCGACGCTGTGATCTCTGTTGGCCAATGGCTAAAAATGAACTTGGCCCGCAAAAATGTTGGCAAAACTTCGGCTTCAAGTAAAACGCACAACAAATGCCGCCTCGAAATGCTTCGAAATGCTCCCCAGAGCAGGCCAAACTTTGGATGGGCTGGCGTGCGGAAAGGGCGGGTGGTGTGCTCGCCACTTTAGCTGCGACGAGTGTGGACAATTACCTTGATGACAATTTAATTAGACACAGCGAGTACACAATGGCAATCATATTAGATGAAGTTCCCAACTGTGAGCTGTTAATTACGAGAGCAAGAGCTACCAAATAGGGGCCCAAGCTAAAGCAATAAGCTAGTATAAAAGAAGCTGCTTAAAACTAAGCCAACAGCTAGATATTATCTATAGAAATGCATCACTTATCTATAGTTTATTTTATGTGGTCACCCTAAATATAGCCGAATTAAAACTTATGACTGAGTCAAGTCTCCTATTTGAATACCATCAAAAATAGCCGCCAACAGAAACTGAATTTCATTTAAACATTTTCTCTCATTAAAATTCAAGTTTTTGCAGAGACGGTTGGACTTGATTTTGAGCTAGATTCGCTGGACTATTAACGTACATATTTCTCTGCTCCATCGAGTTACTAGAAGTGAATAAAGTTGGTAATACGGGCACTGAGAGATATGGAACCTAGAAGTTTTTGCGGAACAAATTGAATTGATATCAATATATCGAATTGAGATTGGTAAAAGTTATCGATAGTTTAAAATGGGAGAAACTGATTCAAAAAAATTTAAGTTTTAGAGGCGGACTAACGCATGGACAAATGGAAAAACAGACGGAAGAATAAACGGAAAGGCAGATGGAAAAACAGGCAGAAACAGAAGAATGAATATGCGAATGAACGAAAGGAACAGATGGACGGACAGAAGAATCGAAGGGCGAGGCGAAGGATGAATAAATGAACAAACAGAATGGATTGCCAAAAGAACAGACGTGCGAAACTACGAGCAAAAACATGAACGTATAGACAGACGAAGGTATGGATGTACGCACACACATTAAATCTAAATATTGTATTTATAATACTATAACTATATATAAACTACTTCTTCTGTAGCCCATTAGCCCAATTTCATTGGGCAAAGGGCATAAACAATACCTAGCATGTAATAAGCTCTACAAAGGTACTTTCTATTACTTTTATTAGAGTTTGTTTTATGGTTATTATAAGATTATAATATGGTTTATAATCTTACATAATTTGTCACGCATATCAAATGATGACTGCAAGCATATAGTGTATATATACAAATATTTATATATCGCTCTGAAACATTCAAGGAATGTGGTACATATATATATATACATCTCTCCGTCTGCAAGTCTGTCTATCTGTAGGCTGTGTATCGTATATTCTTGTTTGATCAACTCTTTCGTTTATTACTGTCCAACAAACTATGCCGCTTTCTTTTCAAGATATCCTCACTGATTGTCATCATATAGATTATGGTAAAGCTCTCGACGTATATCTAGATCTATCTACATCAAATAGCTCTAGTGTTGTCATACCCTAGGCATATTGAAAATGGGAGCTCAGGCAAAAGAGAGCCTGCTAGACGCTCGTTGGTGTCTGTCCCCTTCCATGTCCACCATTCCCTCTCTCTCCCTCTCCCTCTCCCACTCCCTCTTCTTCTCTCTCTCTCTCTCTCTACTAATCTACATATCTATCTATCACCGATCTATCTATCCATATCTGTCTCCATGCCGACAGACTCTTGGTCCCAAATCATGAATGTATTGATCTCGTGATGTCTTTCTAGGATATTAGTTGCGGGTTATTGGATATTAGATATTGCACATGGGATAATGATTGTGAATATTGGATATCCAAAATGGATAGTTTGACAAATAATATTTGATAATAATACTCGATTATTAGACTATAAGAACCATAGCACAACTCGCTTTACTCAGAGAGTAAGCAGAATTACCGTATCTAACCCCATCAGCATTCAAGCAAGGAATACCCCTCAAGACAAACATTGTTTGATTTTTATTAGAAGAGCTCTCCACTCATATTCGAGATTAGTCCGAGCTCATTTGAATGATGCGAAGACTAATTGGAGAGAGCTCAATGGAATGGAAGATAATTCACAATGGCTATATCAATAAAAAGTGAGGAAAGTTTGAAGAGCTTAATGCTGAAGCACTTGAGGGCGCCACGGGGCTGGTGTCTTGGGGGGCTGCCTGGCTGTGATGTATGGGCGGTGGGGTGGTAAGCCTTGACTCGGCTCGCCCACCTGTCCAATTGCCAATTTTCAACGATTCAGAGGCGTGGCAGTGCAAACAAATGAAGTTAAAGCGCGCAAAGGCGAGGGCTGACAAGTGGGGAAAAGGGAGGAGGAGGGCCTATGGAGGGGAGGGAAGCTGGGCGACTGGCACAGCGTGAGTCCAGCAGGCAGCAGGCTAAAGCTCCACTGACAGGCGGTGCGCAGCATGTGGCATGTGGCATGTGGCATGCGGCATGCGGCCAGCATCCACGGCTCACCTTCAGCCCCAGCCCACCCGTCGCTCGCCTCCTCCCGCGCCAGCCTCGCCTGCCTCGGCCACCCACTGGCCTTGTGCAACAGCCTCATTATAAATAGCGGCGACTGTTGCACGGCAGCGACGCCAACGCCAACGCCAACGCCGACGCCGACGCTCTGGCTACCTGTTGGAAATGCAAACACGCGGCTTTGCCATCAGCAGCGACGCTGGCAGCGACGCCAAGGCGCACGCGCTGGAACCGACTCTCCACACGCAACAAAAAGCTTCGTGCCGTAGCGTTGCGTCTCGGCTCCTCTCGCCGACGCCCCCTGAAACTCCACGCACACCCCGCCCCTGGCCGTCCGCGGCGCCCCCACTCTCTGCTCAATTCCAGGCTGAAACGTCGCGACACTTGGCGCAATTTTTGAATATTCTGGAAGCCGTTAGCTGCAGTTGATGCTACGAAATAAACTTTCGCCTAAAAAAATTTAAACTCCTAACGTGAATTAGCAAAAAGTTTAGACGAAACCCAAGCGAAAATAATGCGGATAACTTATTATGGTATGATTTATAGAGTTTGCATCAAATTAGAGTTTGCCTTTGTAGAGTTTCATAGGCACGTCTCCAGGCTCCTAACTTATTTACCTAACGAAATCATACAACCATAGAAACTATCAATCGAGTAATCATTTAGTTATCCAGATACATACATGTAAATGGATAACATATATAGCTGTAAAAAACAGCTGGATAACCACAGGGAAGCAACCAATCAGAGCGTGAAATATTTACCAGAGTGAATTTTAAAGGACTGCCTAACGGATAAAATAATCCGTAAATTTATTGCATACAGCGTAATAAATAACTTAAGAAACCCAGTCGGATAATAGCTGGATAACATATTTATTCGGATGCATAATCCAGTAGAGTAACGCCAGACGGATAATGCCAGTCGGATAACGTCAGTCGAATGATAACAGTCTAATAACACCACCATACACGGATAGTAATGCCAAAATGTTGTTTATAAGAACAGCACAACATTATCAGTTGCCCAACAAGACTCGGATAATACATGTCATATTGAGCCAGTCAAATACCACTGTAATGGATTTGTTTATGGAACTATCTGGATAATATGTAGATAACGCCCACCAAACCTGGTAGTCAAGCAGAGAGTAACAGTCGTATAGTATCTGTAGAATAATGATTGCTGGATAATATAAAGATACCAGTGTGATAATAGTAGTTGCATAATGACAACTGGATAGAGATAATAATCACCAAGTATTAAGAGCCAGATAATATTATTTGGATAGCGATTGTCTGATAATCTCAGCTAGATAATAGATTTATTGCCCCATGGCAAAGCCGAGCCACATTCAGAGCATTTCATTTATTGAAATATATATGATGATATAATATATAATAATAATATTTTTGGTTCTTTTGGCTCTAGCTCAGCGCAGCTGGAGGAGCAGGAGCGCCAGGAGCAGGAGGCCCAAGCAAGAGGTGGACCCAATGGCAACAGACGAGCTGCGAGCATTGAGCACAATCGGCTGCAGATGGTCCAGATTGTGCGTGGTGGGCACTTGGCTAAAGTAGTTGGCCCAAATGCCAAAGGTGAGCAGATCGTTCTTTGGCTGCAGCAGCTCCAGCTGCACCTGGGTATCGGATAGCAGCTGAGCCGACGGCGACTCGGTCCAGTTGAACTGCGACACGGGCAGCGGCCTCATCGAGCCGTCCAGGGTGCTGGGCATGATCAGGCGACGCTGAGCAGCCGGAAACACAGCCTCGATGCGAATGCGCTCGAAGTAGTAGCGATTGGCCACCGCGATGTGGCCGGGAAAGATGCGTCCGCAGCTGGCGAGCTCCTCGTCCAGGCAGGCAAAGACGGCGCAGACCGCCTGCTCGCTGCGATCCACCAGTATGAAGGTAGACTCATTGTCAAGGTAGGCGCCCAGGCGGTAGCGATAGGCGGCGTACTCAGCGGTGCTTGGGATGGGACGACGCTCCACCTGGAAGTTGCAGCAGAAGCTGCCGTGGCAGAGCTGCTGCGACTCATTGACAAAATCCTCCGGCAGCAGAGCAGTGCGAAAGACGTCCAAATTGCGGTCCCTGAAGGTGAGCAGCCCGGTGTGCCGAGCTGTGGTGGACTGCGGCTGAAATGCGGGCAACACTTCCGGATCGGCGACGCCACCCAGAGAGCGCTTCGGCAGACGCGCCTTGAGCAGCTGCACCGTCGGCTGCTGGTAGATGGCGGCGATTTGGCGACCAGAGCGACCCGCATAGATGCCGGAGCCAGTTGTCCGCTGGCCGGGATTGCTGCCGTCGGCGGCCAGGAGATTCACATTGTTGGCAAATGCCCAGCCCTCCTGCAGCTGCAGTGCGCTCAAGAACGGCAGCTCCGAGAACCAGTATGTCGGATAGATAATGTCCGTGATGTTCTGCTCCAATATCAGCCGCATGGCCGGCTCATAGAACAACATATCGAAGCAGATGAAATGACCGAAGGTCACACCAAAGTCCGTCTCGAACGTGGATAGGTCGGGCTGACGCAACACCGCCATCGCGTAGTATTCGCGTCGCCACAGATGGGTCTTCCTGTAGCGCGAGATGACGCGTCCGCGTCGATCCAGGACAACGTTCGTATTGAATAGACGCACGCCTGAGGCGGGGCACGGATTCAACGCATCCGAGCCGTAGTCCTTGCCGCAGAGCTCCTTCTCCACCACATTGATGACAACGTAGATGTTGCGGGCGCGAGTCGCGCAGGAGATTTCGACAAGGAACAGCTCGTAGTCGGGCGAAAAGCATGGCGTTATCCGCTTTTCCGGATCCGGCACAAATGTCGCATAGTCGCCATTGTTCAGCACATGTTCGGGAAAGACGAGAATGTCCAGATCCGAGGTATCATTCGACTCGAGCAGCGCCACGAACCCAGCCGTTGCCTTTATCACCCTCTCCTTGCTCGTGCCAGTCTCATCCGCATACTCGACAACCCCAGCACTATAATAACTGTTGTCCGTGGCCAGCGAGAGCTGCAAAGGCAGGCACATGGCCAAGCAGATTAATCGTACTGCATGCGAGTACATCTTAAGGCAGTGGCCCAGCTAAGACTGAAACTCTTCCCCATTCCATAGCCAAAACGATGGTTAGCATTATATTATATGCATTTATATATACATAGGTAAGGCCAAGATCAGGGACCGTTATTGTCTGCATTTAATAGCCTGCTTTTATGTGATGTCAGTGACATTATGTTATCTACGGACTTGTAAAAATTTATGGTTAGCCGATATGAGCTTTAATGTGTTTATTTCTCTCTTAGTTAATTACTCTGATTATTGAATAAGCAAACATAAAAGCTAAAAAGAAAAAAGAAAACTAATTTGAGCTTGTTGAGCCTATTTAGCCGTTATATTTGTGTTTGAATAAAGTATTTTTATTTGCATATGCATAAAATACTCACGAAGAATTTTTTTTCTTATTATAAACATTATTTTTTTAGTATTTTTCTCCTTATTTAAATTCATTGATTAAGTTTTTTCTTTATTAACATTTTTGGCTGTTAAATTTGAAATTCAAACTAAATACTAGCTGGCAATGCTGCATTCTGTGGTATTTTTTAGCAGCACCATAAGACCTCATCAGCTGTTGCTGCATATGAAGCGTGCGAATGTGTTTTCTTGCATCTGGCAATGCTGTGCGTGGTATTTTTTAGCCACATCTCGCTCACTGGGCGATAACACAATTTTAAAAATACCTATCGATCCAACGATAGCTGCGCGTTTATTTCAGCTGTTCAACAACCAAAACAAAAATAACATCTACAAGCACATTAGGATTAGCATCAACAGTGGCAGCGGTCAGAATAACGCGTGGAAGGAACAGCAAGTAAATACGGGACACGCTAGAGCAACAAATTGGCAACACATGCAAACGTATTAATTGTGAAGGTCATTCATTCCATGCAAATGCAGTGACCAAGACAGAGCGAGCGCGAAAACGAGAACGAGAGAACGGCACGGCTACTAAACTGGAAAGAGAGAGAGAGAGAGCGCGAAAAATAACACAACTACAGGTTTGTGTTCTAAGCACGCGTGCCTGTGTGTGTCAATTTGTTAACTATTAATTAATCTATTACATTTAAACAAAAAACAAAACGCGGCATGACACAACAGAATTTATAGGCCGCCAAGTATCCAACAACGACTTCATCTAACCAATCGGTGAGTAGCTGACCTCCCCGGCGCCCACATAGTACGTGCGTTGTGTGCGTGCGTGTGCGTGCGTGCGTGTGTGTGTCTCTAGATCAAGCGCGTCTTATCAGCGACATGCCGCCAAACAATAGTTAATGCCGGTAGTTGCTGATAAGATTCAGAACAAAGCAGCTCATCATTAGACAACACTTCTTCAAGCAATCAACCCACTAACCTCTCCCCTATAACTTGTTCACTCACTCTTTCGCTCTTACAGCATCCGTCATGGCGCTTAATATGAAGGCTCTGCTGGCCATGATCCTGGTCTTCGTGGGCTGCTGCAGCAACGTCGTCTTCTTGGAGCTCATCATCAAAATCGATCCGGGCGCTGGCAACCTGATCACATTCTCGCAGTTCCTCTTCATTGCGCTCGAGGGCCTGATCTTCACCTCGAAGTTCTTCACTGTCAAGAAGAACATCGCCTTCAAGGACTACGTAATGCTCGTGGTGCTGTTCTTCGGGGCGAACGTGTGCAACAACTATGCGTTCAACTTCAATATACCGATGCCGCTGCACATGATCTTCCGCAGCGGGTCGCTGATGGCCAACATGATCATGGGCATCATATTGCTGAAGAAGCGCTACAACCTGAGGCAGTACAGCTCGGTGGCGATGATCACGGCGGGCATTATTCTGTGCACGCTCGTGTCGAGCGGCGATGTCAAGGACAACACGCATCCCACCCTGAGGGTGGACACCTCCTTCTCGGACTTCTTCTGGTGGGGCGTGGGCATTGCTCTGCTCACGATCGCCCTGCTGGTGACGGCCTACATGGGCATCTACCAGGAGGTGATCTACAAGCGCTGCGGCAAGCACCCCAACGAGGCGCTCTTCTACACACACATGCTGCCCCTGCCCGGGTTCCTCATCATGGCCAGCAACATCGCCCAGCACTGGAGCATCGCCGTTAGCTCCGAGACGGTATCTGTCGCCCTGCCGGGAGTGAGCTGGACGTTCAGCTTTCCGCTGATGCTCTTCTACCTGCTGTGCAACGTGGTCACCCAGTACATCTGCATCAGCTCCGTCTACGTGCTGACCACGGAGTGCGCCTCCCTCACCGTGACCCTCGTGGTGACGCTGCGCAAGTTCGTCTCGCTCCTCATCTCCATCATCTACTTCCGCAATCCGTTCACCCTCGCCCACTGGCTGGGCACCATACTCGTCTTTATGGGCACCGTGCTCTTCGCCAATGTGATCAACCAGCTGAAGGATGCGTACCAGGCGCGCCAGGCCAAGCAGGCCAAGCTGAAGACGGGCTAATCCAGACATGCCCCCCTCTAGCGTAGCGCCCACCCCTTCAATTAGAGGCCATTCGTGCATGCCATTGATATTGCTGTCCCGCTCGCGTTCGTGTGTTGGCCGCGCTCCTCTTCGATAATTGTATATTAGTTTCAGTTCCCACGCTTCAGAATCTATTGTACATATATGTTATATGTTGTATATAGATAGTTAGTTAAGCCAATGCCGACCATTCGACACCCTCCTCGTTACTCGTGCCCCGCACCACCGTACCCCATATGCTCCCCGCGCTCATGTGTCCTACACGTACCGCTCTATGTAAAAATTCTGTTTTTTTTACTGAAAAAATTATAAATTATAAATTTTAGCAAAATTTTCTAATAAATATATAAAGAAATAAAAAAGTTCCTTTGGCTATCTATGGAAACTCTACCCGAAGTTTCTTATCAGTGTTGATTATATAACTGTTCATTTGTCTTTCTCTCGTCTTATACTACTACTATTTGATATGTTATGCAAAGTTATGCCATTTTATCATACATTCTCTGATTTCTTTCTCCCCCTCTCTGTTCTTTCAGTCGTATTTTATCTCTATGTTGCTTTCGTTATTTAGAAGAATCTTAAAAGAATCTAAAGAACAACTAGTTTAGCTCCTCTCTCTTTCTATCTATATTACCAATGTCTATTGTCTTTTTAACAGCTGTTGAAACACAAATATTAAGTTTTTGGCTGAATCTGAATCCGGCGATCGCTCGACTAGCACATACCCTATGCTCGAATTGAAACAATCCCATATATAATACACAAATTGTTAATATTATAAAAAAATATATATTAAATATAAAATTGTTTTACATATGTATGTATATACCTAGATACATGTGTACTCGAGCCAGTCTACATAGTGTATAAGAGAAACAACGGAAAATGATTTGAATGAAGTCCAGTGTTCGATATACCCTTTCCGGCTGTTCAGAGGGCATATTTGTATATTTGGAAGCTGCCAGCTCTAGACTTCTGGCCTTACACTTCTGTAGGCCTTTTTAGTGCTCAGTTTCCTTAAAAGCACCACAGATGTTACCATTCTAGAATTGTGCGACTTGAGCAATTGCGTTTCAAACCCAAAGTAATGAAAAAATACAAGATATTATAAAAACTAAAAAATATGTTTAAATATATGTTATTAATATGTTGTATATATAACGAAAAATCTATTATATATGTCATATAGAATATATATAAAGAAAAAAAATGGAAGCAGTGTGCCGGAATGATTGATATAGTATCATCTCCATATACTACTTGGGTAGTACGTGCCCGTTTAGCTAGTCTGAATTCTTATAACTTTCATTGATTGTCTTCGCACTTTCAGTCACATAGCGTAAGTACATACCCCTGGAGAAAAACTCTTGAGCTGAGGAGAAAAGTCAGTCAGATCAGTTGGTCTTACGATTGCCGAGCTTTGAGTACGTAACTTTCAAGAAACTGTGTGTGCAGTTAAGGCTAACAGACATTTGTAGGCAACATAAACACAAATTGATGCTCAGACATCAAGAATTCGTGAGTTGTTCTATGTGAACTCAGCTTGTGGCCTATGAATCGTACTGAAATTTTGTAGTGAGATGGCTTTTGGCTAAGAGTATAACATATGACAAGTAGAGTTGAATCGGTTTACTATAAGCCATAATTCTGATATAATATTGGTAAAACATAGAGTTTCCAAGTAAACTCATTGAACAATTCCATTCATCGAGGCAAGCTCAGCTTCAAACGTATGAATCGAGCTGAAATCTAATATAAAAATGGCTTTCAGCAAACGCTGTGACATAAACAGCCGAGTTGGATCGGCTAACATTAAACAATGGCATTCGTAAACACAAGTCCACAAGTGCAGACAAGAAACAAAAACTCAGCTTTCAAAAGTCTAATGGCAACATATACCCACTAAAAAACTATAGAAAAGGGCATATTACCTATATATAGAAGTAAGCGAAAAACATATATCTTTATATATATTATAATATGGATTATTGAAATGCTTTTGGAATATACCAAATACAAATACATACTCAGTTAATCATGTATGGTATGAAAGAGTTCCATGGGCCTACCCAAGTCCAAGGAACTACATGTATGTAAACATCGTATTAGATCTACATATCTCAACTATCTTATATGGCTTATCTATAGCTCATCTATCTATGGACACCTCCTAAATCAATGCTAAAAAAGTTTACTTGAACTCACTTCATATATGTACATAGTTCAACACGTTGTTTATAGGGCATCTATCAATATGTATGTATACATATGTGTATCTCTCTGTAGTTAGACAAGAACTGGGCGAAATATTGCTTTGGAAAGTCTATATTAATTATTTTTTATCTGCTCCATCAAACATCACGATAGTTACTTCTTCTCCTCTTGCTGATGTTGAAAGATATAACGTTTCGGTTGTTATACTCATTCACGAACAGGAATCGGGTATATTGGTTTTGCGTGGTGTCCGTCTTGCTGTCCGCTATTGCAGCTAGATTTATAAAGTGTAAGCATTTTCCCGATCCACCTCTACACATTCACAACATCCCATATACCTTGATTTCCCATTTTTAATGGGATCAGTTTAGGATCTAAGAACCTCAAGTTCGGTTAGTTGAGCTACTGGGAACCTCCTCTATCGTTGGCCTAGAAATAATTGTTGTGCCCCTTTGAGGGCGTGGCATATCATGGCAATTCTTACAGTTACAGTTACGTTGCTCTAAAAACTACTGGGAGCGTGGCGAATCGGGAGAAAATTCTCTACAGTCTCAGACCTAGAAACTCAAGACTTAGAGCCTAAATTGTTGTTGGCTTTCCCTATTAGATTGCATCCAATAGACATACATATGTATTGTACTTTGAGAGCGTTGCAAATCGGATAGCGGGATAATGAACGAATGAGTATTCTGCAGTGGGTGAGGCCCGACTGCAATGCTCTAGCTATTCTCTTCATTATTTTTGTTAGTTTGTTAAGAGTTCTTGATGAGAAGGTAAGAAATTGATGAAGTCCAACAACATTTTTACAATTAACTCAGAACCCTTAGAACTTAAAGACGTTTTTATAGAGTTTCGTGTCTAACTGAATATTATTTTCCTCAGTTACTAAAGACTTCAACATGGCGCTTAACATGAAGGCCCTGCTGGCCATAATCTTCGTCTTCGTGGGCTGCTGCAGCAACGTCGTCTTCTTGGAGCTCATCATCAAAATCGATCCGGGCGCTGGCAACCTGATCACATTCTCGCAGTTCCTCTTCATTGCGCTCGAGGGCCTGATCTTCACCTCGAAGTTCTTCACTGTCAAGAAGAACATCGCCTTCAAGGACTACGTAATGCTCGTGGTGCTGTTCTTCGGGGCGAACGTGTGCAACAACTATGCGTTCAACTTCAATATACCGATGCCGCTGCACATGATCTTCCGCAGCGGGTCGCTGATGGCCAACATGATCATGGGCATCATATTGCTGAAGAAGCGCTACAACCTGAGGCAGTACAGCTCGGTGGCGATGATCACGGCGGGCATTATTCTGTGCACGCTCGTGTCGAGCGGCGATGTCAAGGACAACACGCATCCCACCCTGAGGGTGGACACCTCCTTCTCGGACTTCTTCTGGTGGGGCGTGGGCATTGCTCTGCTCACGATCGCCCTGCTGGTGACGGCCTACATGGGCATCTACCAGGAGGTGATCTACAAGCGCTGCGGCAAGCACCCCAACGAGGCGCTCTTCTACACACACATGCTGCCCCTGCCCGGGTTCCTCATCATGGCCAGCAACATCGCCCAGCACTGGAGCATCGCCGTTAGCTCCGAGACGGTATCTGTCGCCCTGCCGGGAGTGAGCTGGACGTTCAGCTTTCCGCTGATGCTCTTCTACCTGCTGTGCAACGTGGTCACCCAGTACATCTGCATCAGCTCCGTCTACGTGCTGACCACGGAGTGCGCCTCCCTCACCGTGACCCTCGTGGTGACGCTGCGCAAGTTCGTCTCGCTCCTCATCTCCATCATCTACTTCCGCAATCCGTTCACCCTCGCCCACTGGCTGGGCACCATACTCGTGTTTACGGGCACCGTGCTCTTCACCGACGTGCACAGGCAGCTGTGGGCGGCCTACAAGCTGCGCCGGCAGGCGGTGCCAAGCACCGTTGGGTACAGTCGCATATGAAACTAAGGTTAGGCTAGGCAAAGACATTTGACAATTAAAACAATTCACTTAGGATAAGAAAACAAATTGTTTTTTTTTTTATTATTATTTTGTAATGGGACTCACTCAGCAAATAGTACGTGTATGTATGTGTATGTGTGTGTGTGTGAGTTTGTATATGTATGTATATCTTTAAATATATATATATAAGAGTTAATACTTATGGAAATCGGAAAAATCGTGTTATCAGTTCACACATTCGCTATAAATCGCACATAAATGTTAAAATGTAAATTTCAAAAGAACAGAACAGGTAAAAAAAAAAAAAATTGAATATATAATATATGAACATAAAGGTTATCATATAGTTGTTGCTTTTAAGCCATATAAAATACATGATTCGTAGGCAGCTGGACATGAAGTCGGAATATATATATGCGTGAATATCTACAGATATATGGGGGCATATATATTGCGGCCGATTAACGGTTGGCAAACAATCAAGTACACTTAGCCTATTGCTCATCCTTGTCCTTGGCACCGTGCTTCAGGATGCGCGTGAATTCCAGATAGTCGAATAGGCCATTCTTGATGGGAGCCTCCCGGTACATCTCGTCCACCTGCACAGGGAGGGAGAAAGCGAGAGAGAGAGAGAGAGAGAGAGCATGAGCTACACATTCAAATAGCTTTCCCCTTTATCTACTCACATCCTCATCTGTGAAACGATCGCCCATTGTGGTGAGCAGCTCGCGCAGTCGATCCTCTGGCAGCACGCCCATGTTCTCCTCGTCGAAGCAGCCGAAGGCATTCTTGATCACATCCTCGGGATCGGTGCCCTGCAGCCGCTCGCCGAAGAGCGTCAGGAACATGGTGAAGTTGATGGGGCCGGGCGCCTCGTTCATCATGGCATCCAGATATTCGTCGGTGGGATTTTTGCCCAGCGAGGCGAGCATATCGTGCAGATCCTCCTTCTCCACGAAGCCATCACGATTCTGATCGATCATATTGAAGGCCTCCTTGAACTCGGCGATCTGTGCCTGATCGAACATGGCAAACACATTCGATGTGGCGCGCTGGGCGCGCTTCTTTGTCGTTGCACGACGTCCGGCGGTCTTGCGGGAGGACATCTTCTAGCTGTGTGTGTGTGTGTGTGTCTTTGTGAATTGGTGATGTGTGAGTGTTAGCTAGAAGATATACAGAATATAAATATTAGCTGCAATCGATTCAGTTTATGTCTATATATAGCCAAAACGTCGCAGCTGCGGCGCTAGTGGCAAAGCCAAAGCCGAACCAAACTGTGTCAACAGCAAACATTATGAAAAACTACTTGGTGATCGACTGCTGCATACGCTGTAAAAAGCTGAATGAAATTTGAAGCGTACTACATTTATCAATGCTTCTTCTTCCTATTAAATCTTTGCAAATTCTACATTTGATGGTGTACAACAAATGCCAGCAATATACCCTTGTTAACTGTGAATACAGGGTATAGAAAGCAGATACGCGCACACACACACCAACACGAATGAGCGAGTTATGTGTGTGAGTCATGCAACCAAAATGGCAAAAATGACAACGTCAACGGCTGACTCCCAACTGTGTTGGTGTGTGTGTGTGTGTGTTTCACCATGTGTATGTATGTGTGCTTATCAATGCGGTGTCATTTGCTTTCAATGAATAACAAAAAGCATACACACACACACATACACAGCAGCTCAGCCTCGCTTAATTGAAAGCCCATAAAAGGAATAAAAACAGCGCGACTTTTGTGCATGTGTTTGTGTGTGTGTGTTTTATTTACACACACAGCTGCGTGCTGCAAGAGCTGCCGCGCCCCATTTTGCAGCCCAACAAATGGTCTGCTTTAACGAATTCCACGTAAAACACTTACAAAGCGCAAAACCATGCTTCTTCTTTCTTGCATTAATTTGTTGTTTTCTTTTATATAGGGCTCCGACGCTGACTCATACACTCACAAACTCGCACAACTACAAGCACACACGTTAACAGCATAGCTGAGCTGAGTAACTGTGAGGCTGCGTTGCGCCAACGGCTTTGCATTGATTGCTTCCTTTTAATGTATTTTCGTTTTTAAATAAATTAATTAATAACTTACCAGCTGCCGGAACGTACGAGCGTCTTGTTTTTAATACTTGTCACTAAACTGTTGCCGCTGCAGCTTATTTGTTGTGTTGTTCACTGTTTGCACAGATGACAAATGCTTGGGATATCGATATGGACGATAGCTTTTATATTCGATACGTAAAATGCACAACTAGGGCAAGTGCTACTTCTGGTAGTATTATAGTATTTTTTTCTTTGGTATTTAATCATTGATAAATTTAACGAGAAAAACAAACAGTAAATACGCACAAACTCATTCTAGATTATTTTTGAGAGAAACAATTAAGTCGGGCCTAATTATTTTCCCTTTCTGGCAGATTTTCTAAATATATTTATATTGCGATTCCTCAGAATGTCAGCCATTATATGCCAATGATGATATCGATATACATTTTATTTAAAAACGGCTACTTCAAAGCCCGGCCTTTTTAAAATGCTAAAATAATTTCCATTGCATAATTGCTATATAGAAATCGAAGCTTATTAATAAAAATGAAATAAATATTAAAATAGTTTTACCCACACATTCGATCGCCAACTCGCTTTGCCAACTTCACTTCTATGTGGGCACACTTGCTTTAGGTGGGCTGGCTTAGAGTGTGACCAGGTGCATTCTACTCATAAAATCCCACTCATTAACTACTTGCCAATTATGCGGGTTACCTGTCCAATTGAGTTCAGCCACACTGACGACAGTGGCTGAAATTCGAAGCGCAGCAAATACACACGGCGACGCAAGAAGGGCCAAAATAAACAGCAACAGCAACAGGGGCAGTCGACAAAACGGATTTATTAAATGCACATGCATATTTATTTATAAACTTGTTAGCGTACGCAAACGTGTTACAAATGCGCTTCCGTTGCAGTCGGAACGCCGCCGCATCTTCTCGTCCGTGCTAAGTGTGCCCAAGTGCAATTATCGAGCGCAGTCGCCTGCCGCCTCCTTCGTTTGTTGTTGTTGTTGCTGTTGTTATTTGCATTTGTTGTTTTTGGGTGCTAATATTTTATGTGTGTGTGTGTGTCCGTGTGTTTCTGCCAGTTGGAAATTCTATTCAATTCTGGTGCGGAAATTAAGTCGTGTATCGCCGTGTCTCTCTGTGCATGTGTTCGTGTGTGTGAAAGAAAAAGGTGAAACAAAAAAAGGCGCAGTTGCGGCTGCCGCCGCTGGTTGCCGTCGCCGCAGCCGCAGAACCGCGTACCGTAGCATTCGTATGCAAGAATTGTCGTTGTCGTCATTATTATTGAGCGTCGGCGTCGACGTCGCCAATGCCGCCGCCGCGTCCGGTTTAAATTCAATCAAGCGGCAAGCGAAATAAAGCAAACGATAAATTAAATAAAACATTGCCAACGTCGCATTGTTGTTATTACAATTGTTGCTGTTGTTGTTATTGCGCTGTTGTTCTACTGCTTCTTCTTCGTACTCCTCCGCTGCGCTGTTGCTATTGCCTATTGAACGAAGCTTTTTGCCGCCCAACTACCTCGCCCGCCTGGCGCACCGTTAGCTTAACGAAACTCGTGCGAGTGCATTCAACTCACGCACGAGCACCGAGCAACAACAACAACATTAACATTTACAGCTACAACAACAAGAACAGCAGTCAAAATGCTGCAGTCTCTGCTGTGAATTAGCATACAGAACTGAACGAAACTTTTGTTAAGCTTAAGCCGACTGCGCCGCCGCCGCCGCCGCCGCTAACCGCAATGCTTGCTAACGTGCCGTCAACGTCGAGTGCTGTATCTGCGTCTGCTGCTGCCTCCGCCGCCGCCACAGCCGCTGTCACAGCAGATAGCTGTGATGAGCGCACACGTCTGCTGGGTAGCGCATCGACGCCAACGCCGCCGCCGCTGTCGCTGTCGCCGTCGCCACCAAAAACGTTGACGCTGCCGCTGGTCCATGCAGCGACGCATCCGTCCCGCAGCAGCAGCAGCAGCAACAGCAACAACAACAATCACAGCGGCAGCAATAGCAACAACAACGACAACGATCTGGAGGCCAGCAACAACAATTACAACAACAACGACAACAATCGCAGCGACGTGGACGACCTGTCCGAGGAGACGGCCACCACGGCCGGCGCGGCCGACTCTAGCGATCAAAGTGATAAATTCAACCGCCCGCCCACCCACAATCAGAAAAAGCCCAAGCTAAGCAAGCTGGGCACTAAAAGCGTTGGACTCAAACGGTGCGTAACCCAAAGAGCTTTCCAGTCCTCCCAATAAGCAAACACACAGAGAATTAATTTCCCTTTATTATTCTCTCTCTCTCTCTCTCTTTGTTTGATCCCTTGCAGCGTGTCGTTCGGCTCTTCGAAAGGCTCCATGGTTGAGACTTTGGTGTTTGAGACGCCGACGCCGCTCTCTGAGCACGTGGAGCCGAGCTTTGGTTTCGATGCGGCCGACGCCGCTGCTGCGGCCGCTGCCGGCGCTGCTGCTGGTCAGCCGCTGCTGGCAGCAACTGCAACAGCGGCGACGCATTTACCGCTAATCGGCAGCAATTACGCCACCTACGGTGACTATGCAAAACTGAATATGGACGACAGCGGCATCGAGGTGCAGGAAGAGTGAGTAGAAAACAAAAAACAATAAGAATAGTGAAAAAGAAGAAGAAGACGATATATAAATGTATGTATGTATGTATGCGTATAAAGAGAGCACTAAGTAAGCAATTAGTGCAAGAGAAATGCGGATCGCCAGTGCAATGACTGCGCGTGACGTCACAGCTGATGGGAATCTTAACGTAGTAGATAAAAGATGAAAGAGACTTTTGTGAAACGCTTCGGAACGGTGTTTAATTAGCCATGAGCTGATGATGGGAACCAAAATCTTGACCAGGCTGGAAATGAGTTGAGTGTAAGAGGAAACGGAAATGAAGATTTGTCGAGTGCAGGAGTTGGTAGTCTCGTTAAGATGACAGAATTGTGGGAACTTGACGAAGCTGAAACGGGCAAAAGGATTTAATACGTGCAAACGTTGGTAGTTTCGTTAAGTGCAGAGAGAGTGTCGTATGCAAAGTGCACAGAGCGGAAACTAGCCTCACGCGCTCATCTCTTGCACAGCAGCTGAACAAAAAGCTAATGAACCCATTTTTGATGCAGTTCGCTTTGCACAATGCGCTTCATCCATATGAGTACAAAAGAACGTGCTCTTTTGTTTAATGGATTTGCTCTAAATTGGGATTCTACTTTTATGGCGCATTAAAAGACAAAAGATCATGAGAGGTACTTGGTTTTTTTTTTTTGTATTTATTTATGTATTTACTTTTTTCGTAGGCAGCTTTCGCTTGAAAATAAGCTACAGTTAAGCCTAAATCCAAGCCACACACACACACACGCACTCAGCCCAATTGGCATGCATTGAACTCTGCATGAAAAACAAACAACCCTCCGCGCCAAAAAAAAAAAGAGAGAAACAGATAAAAACCTAAAACCTTTTTTAAATCGATAATTACGTTGGAAGTTTAAAAGAAGCAACTGAACTACATCTGATAAGACACACACACACACACACACACACGCACATACACACAGGATGCGCCGCTCTGTTTACTTAAGCCGCTCTCTTCATCCGTTCTCTCTCGCTCTTTCACATGCTGTTACCCATGCCCAATTTGATGTGCCACCACCAACAACTCCAATTGGAGTTTATCCAACTGTTTTTTGCTCTGCGCCGGCGCTGCAGTTGCGCGTTCTCAGCAGTAGCAGCAGCAGCAGCAGCAGCCGTTGAATACCGTTAAACTGCGCTGCTGTCGTCGTATTCATTGCTTACATAATGTCGTGCTATATGGGTATGCCTGTGTGAGTGAGTGTGTGTGTGTGTGCATTTTAAAGCATGATGTAGGTCAACTTCATTTGGTGGTTGTTGACCCACATCTTTATTTTTGGGCTCTGTTTAGGTGCCTGACTGTCTGTGTGTGCGCGTGTGTGTGTGCGTGTGTGTGACTGTTGTCTATTAACTGCGGCACACCCACACTACGCCTTTTATAATTAAAGCTCGCCCCTTATGTTAAGCTGTTTATCGATAACTGCAATCGCCCACGCATTCATTGTTTTTGTTATTTAAAATTTTTGAAACATTGCGTGTGGCCTCATCGATAGCCCGCCGTTGTCCGGCATTGTCGATAGCACACCGCGCTTGGCGTTGCCAGAGTTTGCATTTATTTTTGTGACCTTTCCCGCTTGACTCGCTCACTCTCCATCTCTCTCTCTCTCTCTCTTTCGTTCTGTGCGTGTGAGCTTTTATTTGCCGGTTCGTGCGCTTCAAGCGCGACCGCGTGATGTCATCGAGCGCCACTTGCTGCATGGAAACATTCTTTAGCTGGCGAACTACCGAGCTACGGCTACTTAAGTTCAATGGAACCGTTAACTTCTTGAAGTGCTAGAAATGAAATACCCTGCAAACGTTTGTAGAGTGATCGCAGCTGGATTGAGAGAGGGGCGAAGGAAGTGAAAGAAATCAAGGGTATAAGGGAATGATAGGCAGCAATATATAGAGAAAGAGCGATATACAAACGATATGGCTAGATGAAAAGAGAGAATGAGAGAGAAAACACGACAGAAAAGTATGGAGAGAAAAAGATGGAGATAAAACTGTCTTCTGCTATGCGTTACATCATGGCTAACCGAATGGATATACGCACAGCATCGAAGGGTATAGAACAAGCGAAGCATAAGAATAGACAACAGCATTTGCTGTTATTATTGATTATGTTTATGAGATCGAAGATTGAAGACTGAGAATGAGAATGTGAATGTGAGAATAGGAATGCGAATGAGATGAAGATGAAATAAAAATGGGCTGTGCTTGAGGTGAGGTGAGCTGGTGTGGCTGCGGGCATTAGCACAGTTGGCCCGGATGCTGGGCCGACTGACCCCGGCCAGTGTCCATTCCACCTCTTCCATCCCCTCTACTGCTGTTGCTTCTTTATCTTGATCTGGCAGCGCTTGCCTTGGTAATTTTCAAGTGAATGTCTTGAAATTCGAGCACCTTGCGCATGTGTGTGTGTGTGTGAGAGACTGAGTGTGAGTGTGAGTGTGCGTGTAATCTACGTACAAGCTTTGGCTATTGTGAAAGTACATCTGCATCCGTGTCTGTGTGCGTGAGCTGTCAGTCCGTCGATTGATTTTCCGGTGACCCATACACTTGCCAAGCATGTCAGCAGGAAGAGGCGGCGGGAGAAGAAGAGACGGCAGCAAAAAGTCAGCCATTGTCACATTTTGTGTGTGTAATGTTAACGGTAATTGTGCCGCTGGTCAGTCGCTCAGTCAGTCAGCCCTATTACCTACATACACTCACACACACACACTCGATGTACGTGCGCTCTGAATAGTTTTTGTGGCGGCGTCGACAACAATAGAAGCACACACACACACAGTGACAGACAATGTTCCCAATTGTCAGCATCAGCGCGTCCGCCCGTCTGGCAACCCTGTTTATTAACTGTCAAGCACAGCCGAAATAATAGAAAAAAATATAAAAATTGAAGAATATATGAAAAACAAAACAGACGCGCGCTGCTGCGCCCGTTGCAATACACGTGTCTGTGTCCGTGTCCGTGTGTGTGTGGTGCCCCCACCGTCACCTCCTACCCACCCATTGGGCACCCCTGGCTTGGCACGATTTCCATTTATCAGTCAGCTTCCCCAATGGCTTACCTTTTATATAGTTACGTGTTTATGTTTCTTATGATATTATTTTTATTTTCGTTCACGTTGTGTATAACATCAGCAGCAGCAGCAGCAGCGGTGGCGGCGGCAGAGAACGTTAGCAGAGGGAGCAGCAGAGCGCGAGAGCGTAAAAGAGAGCGCTCTCTTGCGTAGCGGCACTTACGCTCTCTTCACATAGCTTTGCATTTTTGTGAGTGCGCAAAAAAGAACAAAAACAACAACAACAACGGGGAAAAAAAAGTGATGTCATGTTTGTTGGTTTAGCAGCGTTGCCAGATGTGGCACGTTGGCGTTATTGTTTGTTTGTTTTTGATTATTACAATGTGCGTTTATGTTGATGTTGTTGTTCATCTTATTGCGCATCTGCGAAAACAACAATAGCAACAACAACGCAAAAACCATAAACGGGAAATTGGCGCAGTTCGTTTGGTTCTATTGTTGTTGCCGTGAAACAGCTGCCAAATCTCCGAAATTGCCGCCTTTTTGTTTCTGTTTGTTTTTGTTTGGCCAAAAGATTATTGCGCGCATTTCCCAATTGGATTTTTCTTGTGTTTACGTTTACTGCGTAGCAGTCAAAATTTGTTGAAGAAAGTACAGCAACTATTTAAAGATCAAAATGAATTTATTTTTGTTTGAATATAAAATTTTGTACTAAAAGTTAGCAGTACAAAATTTTGAAAACATTCAAAAATACATAGCTTTAAGATCTGTTTATTAATATGCCGGATTAGAAAATTTTCATTTTCACTATTCAATATTTTGTTTCTTATTGAAACTATATTAAGCGAGCTGCGTTTTGTTTTGAAAATACATCGCAGTTAATTTCCAGTTGGAATAGGAAAAATCTTTGCTAGGTGGCAACCTTAGCGCATGAACTTCACAGTTGGAGAGCGCGCGCTGCGGCTCTCTCGTGCACTCTCTTAGTTAGTGCGGCTCAGCAACGCGCGCTCCTGCAAACATTTGTGTTCGTATGTGTGTGCGTGTGTGTTTGCTATGTGTGTGTGTGTGTATATTGTATCTTTTACTTTTTAGCAGCAAGCTTGCAAGTTAGCTAGGCAAACGCAGCGACAACGCCAAACAGCCAACAACAAACGAGAATTACGTGCGGGGCGCTCGTTCGCTCATTGCTTGGAATTCGCCGTATTCTTCTGCCACTCGTTGTTATTGTAAATTTTCAATCTTATTTTGTTACTTATTTTTTGTTGTTTTTTTACTGTTGTTTATGTGTGTGTGTTTACTTGATTGAATTTGTATTGTCAAATCGTGTTCCGCGTTTGGTGAGTTGCCTTCAACAAACAACCCCAGCAGCCGAGCGCGAAACGGTCAAAAGAGAGAGAGAGAGAGAGTCGAGCAAAGGGCATAGACAGCCAACACTGCTCGGACGGACAGACGGTGGTTCGGTTCGCAAAAGTAAAACGCGCGTAGAATCGCTGGAAGAGGAAGCAGCAGCAGAACGTTGAAAACACATAGCAGCAGCATAAGAAGAGGAAACAGCAATAGCAGCAGCAGCTGCCGAAAGTCAAGTTGTCAAGTGCGTGAATTAGTTGTTAACAAATTAAATGCCAGCTAAATGTAAAGTGACAGCAACTAAATGTACAAGAAACAAGAAAAAACGAAACCACACGAAAAACAACAATTGCAAAAGTCAATCGTGCGTGCCAAAAAGGGACACATAAACACACAAATACGCATGCACACCTACACAGCTAGGCAGCAGTCAGTGCAAGTGGTTGGTGTATTAGTAAGAGAGTGTGTGTGTGAGAGAGAGAGAGAGAGAGAGAGCGAGAGTGGGGCAAAGAGAGTTGCTGTTTGCAGTCACAACACCCACCGCCGCAGTGTTGGTAAATGCAAGCCTTTTTCTTTTACAAATGCCCAAAACACAATTGAAATGCCATGGCAAGTAAATATAGAAAAGCGAAATAAGTAATAAAACAATGTGAAAGTAATTTACGCCATTGTTATACAGTGTAATTCGCCCCATGCCCACACACATACACATACACACACGCTCATGCTGTTACGCTTAGCCAGTTGCTGTTGTTGTCCATGGTGGGATGCGCACAGTGAGTTCATCGCAAAAAATAATACACACTAGCGCCCCCTTCAGTTCTCCTCGCTCAACAGCAGCGGGCTACGTTTGCCCGCCAACGCCACTTCACCACCCCATTTGCCACTCCCCACGCTCACACAACCACACTCTCTCACTTGCGCGCTCTCGCACACTGTAGCGCAGCTCTGCTAATGCTCTGTGAACGCAATTAAAATACACTGGCCCGACTAGCGCATATTAGTGTACACGTATGTGCGTGCGTGTGCGTGTGTGTGTGTGTGCTGCTGCTGCCTTTAACAGTGTGCGTTAAAATATAGTGCCTTGTTTGTACATAAATTAGACATAGCTTTAAGTTTGGACGGTGTTCGTGCCCGTTGCGGCGTTGTTATTTCTATATATATACATATGTATATACATATGCTTGTATGGTTATAATATAAATTCTATAATATGGCCATGTGATCGCATCTCTGTGTGCTTTGTGTTTTACAAATTTTTGTTGAAAATAAAATGCCGACAGCGGCCGCAGTTGCCGTCGACGTCGAAGCGTCACAGCAGCAGGTACGGGCGCCGCAATGCAGCGCTGCTTTAATGGCATGCAATACAGTAAAACAAACAAGTATTTTGTTTTTATTTCCAAATGGCATGCAAATAAATTGCTGCTGCTGGCGCTGCTGCTGCTGTTTGACGTCAAGTGCAAAAATGTTCAATTAACATTTCGTTCAACTGTTAATTTCATATTTCTTTTTCTCATTCTTTTTTTTTAAACGTTACGCGCGGGTGGGGCTCAGCCACTGACATAAATCTAACACACACACACACACGCACACATCTCTATACACATGTATGTGGCACAGTAATTTGTTAAATTAATTTACGCTGCTCTCAATGTTCATTGCCTGCGTATGCGTCTGCATGTGTGTGTGAGTGTGTGTGTGTGTGTGCTGTGACGTCGTCCCAGAACTAATTGAAAGCTCTGCCGCTGCGCTGCTTTGATGCGCTCATCGCTGTGCAAGAACTAAACGACAACAACAACAACAACAGTCGAACGCAACTGAAGAGTAGGAAGCAGCAATAGAGGAGAAGAGCGAAGATGAGCAGCGGCGCTCAAGTTCGCTGCATTTGCTTTCCAACACCTTGCACTTAGTCGCAGCTATCTCACTCTTACACACACGCGCCCGCACTCCTCCCACTCGCTAGAGCAACAAGTTTTTAGTTTTTATTTCCCCCTTTGCTTAGCGGTGCTTGCTGTTGTTGTTGTTGTTGTTGCCTTTTAATCTGAAGGAAGTTTATGATGAGCAGACAGCCCACTACTAACGTGTGCTCCCTCCTCCCCCTTCTGTTTGGCTGGCACTTGAATAATGGGAATAATACAAAAAAAGAGAAAAAAAACTTGTTTTTCGTTGCTTGTAACTTTGCTTGTTCCTTTTGTCGTGCTGCTTGTTACAGTTGTTGTTGTTGTCGCATTCGCATATCAATTTCGGCACATGACGTAAGCTTCACATGCTCAATGAGCCGCCGCCAACAACAACAACAACAAGAACATTAGTTCGTACGTTGAATTTATGAAGTGTATTTGAAAAGTAAACAGATAAAACAACTTGGCGCTGGTTGATGAAATCGTTTTAGATTCAATTCGTTTCGATTTCCATTCCCATTCGTTGCGCTAGTGTCTTCAGCAATGATTGCTATGACGTATACCCTGTAATTAGTATAAATTGTCTATAAATAAATGTTGCGCTACAGTCAAAGCTATTCCAATTGATAAGGTTTGCAGTTGGTCTGAGAGTTTACCCTAGAAATACCCTGTAGTTGCCTAAATGTATATGGGAATGAGAAGAGTTGATATATTTTCAACTCCAGAACCATATAGAGCACTGTATATACCCTGTAGTGTACTATTCTGAGGGATATTTGTAGAACAAAAGTGTCTGCAATTAATGTTAACTTATTTTCGCATAAAACCCCATGTACAACACTAGAAATACCCCTTAATTTTGAGCACTATGAGAAAAGGAAAACGTGTGTCTTCTACTATCTTCGTCTAATACCCTGTAATCTATATATGTATAACAGTAAAAGCTGCAAATATTAACAAGCGACATCTTCCGCCTTATCAGTCGTACATATGTATGAACATGATTTCTAATCAGTGCTTGTATTCTAGGCGCTGACTAAATATTGCTTCAATTGACTCATTCAACTAGGCGTTACCTAAAAAAAAACTATGTACTTAAATTTTAATGGGTTCAAATGAATAGAAAATAGTTAAAATGAATGAATTTTATGCATAAATAGAAGCTGATACCCTGTAAATTGGTGTTATGGCCTGACATTGTTATATATATATGAGAATTCCAATCTATTTCCATATAGTATAGAACATTTACCGGCTCTATAAATAACCTGTGCTTATCACAACCTCACAGTGTGAATTATCATGCGTAGACAGCTTATAGAATAACTGCTAATCTCTAAAGAGTCCCAACGTATTATCGACCAACAAATTGCGCAGAGAAATCCAGGCAAAGCTTCGGATTTAAGAGAATAACTCTGGGTGTATAGCCAAGTCTTGAGTCTAGGGTAGCTGATAGTCTGGCATGCTGTCATGATCTCTAACCTTCAACTGCGTAACTTGTTTGGAAACAACTTGTGAGCTTCTTTTCGATGAACAAGAGACCAAAAAATGACTGAGCAAAAACTCTGAAAGAAACAGTAGACGAAGACGAAGAAGAAGAAGAAGAAGAAGAAGCTGATGGACAGCGGCGCACACAAAGAACTCCAAAACGTAGAACGTCTAGCTGAGTTGATCGTAGATCTTAGATCACATCTGGCCCGCAACAGCGTTAAATAGAGCTAAGAATATTGCTTTGCGGCTCGTTTCGGGTTTCCTGGAACCGCACAAGAAACATAAACGAAACGAACTGAAGAAAAATGAGAGAAGTAGAAGAAGTAGAAGAAGAAGCTAAACAGCTAAAAATAGTACACAAAAAACTTTAGAAAGCAATTAAAGCAAAGCTTCTTGGGAATTTGCCGTTTACGACTTGAACTAGTTGCGAATTATTGTGATAAAAAATGGGGCGACGCTTCGTGCGGTGGGAGCGGAGCTAATTTGCATGCATGTAACGGGGGTTTACTTGGACATTTAATGGGTCTCTCGTACCATTATGCAACACTGCATGCATATAGGGTATACAAATGTGTGTGGCAAAGGGGCGACGCCTTTTGTCTCAGCTGAGTTATGAGTCATAAGTTAGCTTGTTTTTATTCCCTTGTCCCTTCGGTTCGACCCTTTGGCATTGCTCTTTAAAGTTGCGTTTTGCTCGAAATGAGGTCACATATCAATTAGTTGTAGTCGCGCCGCTGTGCTGCCAGGGCACCGAGCTCTGATATCATTCAATAATACCATCGATAATATGTTTACAACTAATAGAATTCATTAGCTGAATGCAAAGTTCTTGTTCTTGTTCCCTTTCAATGTCAAATCAGAGGCAGCCGCCGCAAAACTTGTCAGATCTACGTCAATTTCATTTCCAATATCATATGCAGAGATATACATATATATATATTTTTTAAATTTTGTATAAACACAAGTCTAGAATCGTGAATCACTGGCCTTTGAGTAAATATAAAAAAAAAATCCATTGTTTATAGTTTTCGTGTTTCATAATTAACTCAAGTGCATGAACTCTATGAATTTCGGGTAAATATGTATATTCACAATAGAAAACATGTCATATACAGTTGTCTGCTTTTTTATCATCCCATATCATATGTCAATACTTTATTAACCGCAATCTCATCTCTCATTACTCTGTTCACGTGTCTGCCATATTCTATTTGCTGTCGTATATCTGATGTTGTCTATGCGCTATATTTTATTATTATTTTTTCCTCTATCTTCTATCTACCTTTATCCTCCGTCTTTCATCTTCCATCCTCTATCTTTTAAACTCACTATTCTCTATTGTATATTCTCTCTTTTATCTCTTTCCTCTATCACTCATCATCCATCTTTCATCCTCCATCCTCTATCTTTTAAACTCACTATTCTCTATTGTCTATTCTCTCTTTTATCTCTTTCCTCTATCATGCATCATCTATCCACTATTCTCTAGTCTCTTTGCTTTCATCTATCTCTCTATCATATGTTCACTATTTTCTAATCTCCATCAATGCCTCTATCTATCTTCTATCATCTATTCACTGCTTTCTATCGTTCAACGTCTATCCTCTATTATCCGATTTCTCCCTTTTATTCGCCATCCACTATCCTCTAACTACTCTACCTACCCTTCTTCAATCTGGATACCTCTGTCTTTCTTACCTCGCCTCCACTCGTATTCCATCTTCTATCATATCTCATCTTTGATCATCATTCATCTTCAATCTTCGATCATCTTTAACAGAATTTCTTCTGCAATTTCCA